ATAAAGCTGACTGGACAAATGAGGAGATTATAGCATGGCTAGATAACGAGGAAAAGAAGGAGCAAGATGAGTATAATATGCTTGAATCAGAGTTTATTAGGAATAGGAATAGGAATACTGAGAATAGGAGTAGGGATATATGGGCTAGACTTGAGGAGGAGTATGCGCGAGACTCGGAGCGATATATATTGTAGGATTTATTATATGTTATTTTGTTAAGCATGTATTAATTATAGGTATAAGTAGAGTGTTCGTGGATGGTGGGGGGGCGTGAAAACCCGCGCTTAGTCAGCTCTAAACTGACGCCGGGGCGTCAGTGTATTGGGACCCCTTTGCTAGGCTTGTGTTTAGTAAGCAGAGTAAAATAGTCGAAATCAAGCATGATGTACGGGGTGTATTCTTTCATGAACGAGTCGGGAAATTTTTTGTAGGGATATGGTCCTGAGTCGATCTTATCATCTTCGATGACAATCTCTGGAGGGTACAAGCTCATGTCGATAATTCTGGTAGCCATGATTTGCAGACTGCGAAAATGGTTAGTATGAAATGAAGATGAAATGGGGTGATGTAGAATTACTCTCAGAAGAGGAACCTAAGGGACTTGCGAATCTGGAAAAAAATCCTAATCTTTCAGGGAAGGTGAAGCTGAAAGAGCGGGAAAGGTTACCTCACGATCTGATGTGATGCGAAGCTGTTGGAACGCGGTGTATGCGGAGGTCAAGAAGATTGCGTTTGAGGGCAATACAATGTACCTGATTAGGCTTGAAGGGTGTGGTTTCATTGGGACCTGAGATGTTGTTGGAGTTGAGAGAAGAAGGCAGAAAAGTTGGAAGGAGATTCGCGTTTTGATCTCGAATTGTACCGAAGTCGGAGTAGTATTTGGAAGATGAATATCGATTCACTACTCAAGTAGGTAAACAACGAGTGCCATACTTCATGCCTATATCGGCAGACGCGCTAGCTACCGCCTAAACCTCGGCGCACCATGAAATAGTACGCCCGCTATCCCCACTTTGAGGTTCATATCTCAAAATAAGCGAAATCTGAATATATCAACGCAGAATGCTTTACCACATCTTGGTGGCCCAGTGGAAAATTAGGGGCTTATGGGCAATGGTCGGATTTTACCTTATACGGAGTGGGCGGGGTATTTATATCACCGACCTGCTGGCGCTGTGAACTACAGCTTTCGAGCTATATATAAAGTATTCTGTGTGACATTTTTTTTTTCTTTTCTCTTTTTTCGATTATCTTTCTATGTTTCATTCTTCAAATCTTTCGAACGATTTCTGACCATTCGAGAGCACGTAGAAAATATATTCCTCGTACGTACCGGTGAACCCTGTCTTTTCTCATAAAAGAATGTACCAATGCCCTTCGATTCTCCCAGATACTGCCAGATCAACTTTGTCGTTCCTTCGCCCATGAGACCCTTTGTTCCGTTTATATCCGCACAGTTATTTGCCGATTCCTGGACGAGCCATGTGAACATGCTTCGGCAATACGACCTCTTTATTTGACTCGACTGCCTATACCCATATTTTAGCAAGCTGTGGAGCTAATTGCATGTCACTGGCAAGCATTTCTCTGTCTCGATTTACTTCACCTTTCGTCAAGTTATAGGCGTATCGATATCCGCGTTCTTCTCCCAAACGCAAAGCTCTAAGATAACCTCGGCCTGCGTAATCGTTATCCAGAATTAGGTCTCCTTTAGTAGTTTTAATAATTTGTAATAGGAGGTCAAGTGCTAAAGTAACCTTGATCCAGTCTCGTAAGTCGTTGTTTGTGACTTTTCTTACAGAGTCTTTTCTACTATAAACGCTGCTAATTCTAATTATTGTATCTTCCTATATGTTTCCCTTCAGCTCCCGAGGAAGCTTTTGACGCACCCTCGTTTGGTTGAGAGTAATAAGGTGGTTAAGTTTCTGTTCTTTGACTAGATCGAACTTGTAGTACAGAGTGTCCTTGAGCGAACCCCCTAGAGAGAGTTTCCGGTAGTATGAAGACGATTCGTAACGAACTTGGGAATACAGTCGTCGGGTCGGAGTCAAAGTAATAGTACTTTTCAATGGAGATAGAGAGTTGTCCAATGTTTCCTTTCTCAAATTGATATATTACTTCACCAATAAATCCACCTAATATACCTATTTCGCTCTCAAGCTCCATGTTGACTTGTAAATATATCATACTCAAGTACTCAAAACTTCCAAGCTAATACCGAACCTGACGACACAATGTTGTACTACACCAACTAAGCCTCATAAGGCGCAATCTACTAAGAGGTGTCTCGCTTAAGTCTGTTATTTGCGCACAACCGAACAGTCTCACGTCAACAACAACTGCGGGTGATCATCATGCAGTAACTAACATCATACGAGGCGTTGAAAAGATGGATTTCGAACCACTAAGCGTCTTTATTGCCAGTCATGAAACGATCATGTTGGATGATTTCATGGCATGGCATGGTAGGGAGACTCGCTAAGTTGGGCTCCCCCTGGCAGCTGTTGCCTTCGATTTTAGAGCTTGATGATAGCGTGGTAAAACATCCTTAAGACACGTGGGCGGGTTAGGGTGTGCATATGACTCGTTTTCTCATTAAAGTGTGGCAGAGTCTGGGAAGATCACTTTTGGAGCCACTTAGAGATCAGCATTCTATGGATCCCCGGGTAGAAGAGACGGACTACGATCTTCTATTACAAGTGCAGGACTTTCGCCGCAATCTCTAGGAACTCGAATCCTGCCGATAACCCGGAGTGCCATCCACTGTCTCCCCACCCATATGCCTTAAGGACGATTTACTACGGTAGACCCTACGGTGTGGGTTTTGTTAGTACTAGGTTGACCGCCAACACCACGTACCTGTCAAGCTGCGGATTAGAAAGCTGCCGCAATACGTAGCAGGCAAACTGAGAGGGGGATATTCTTGCATATCTCCCACCCCCGCCATTTGATTTTGGTTTCTGACTTCTGACTACTTGTTCTACACACTACAGATAGCGAGAAGGCCCTAGGAGAAGAAACCCATCTTTACCAATCATCATACAAGATGGGGGTAGAAAGCTTGACCATGTCACGGGTTGTCCGTTTTATCATTATTTTTCTAGTGTTTGATCTACTCATCTACTCGGGCTTCGTTCTACATCCCACTTATTCGAAACATGTCGGCGATGATATACCATTAGCGAAGAAAGAGGATACAGCCACACAACAACCTTTCTCGTCAACATATTTAACTTCATCGCTATCACCGACCAAGTCCTCGACATCCAACCCTGTCGATGAGTACCAACAAGAGCCTCAAGGTACACAGAACCAAGGATCTGTTAAAGTGTCACCGGCGACACCAACACCTCAATCCAAGACAAAAGACGAAGTAAACTTTGACACATCACATGACGCACAGAATTGGGGCCTCTCATCTCAACAGTGCTCGGACCAATTCCCTGGGCTCTTCACAGAAATCAACCGAGCAGTCGCCTTCCAAAAGCAAAAGGGGGTGGTAACACCCGAGGACATCGATATATCATGGAAAGACGACGGCGCAGTTCGAGCTCAGATCATAGATCAAAAGGTAGAATCTAAGACCACTCCTCAAAGAAAGTAACAAGACTTCATTACTAACACTTCGTCTCACAGTTATACATCCTCGAAGCCAAAATTACATCCGATCACCCCGCATGCGCTCCATTGCCCTCCTCAGCGCCATAAACAGAGCCATAACAACATCACCCCACCCGATCCCTAACGTAGAATTCTCCTTCATTGCCTCAGACATCGCGGACGAATCACACTCGCATTGAACACTCTGGGCTCTGACTCGTCTCCCCGAGGAAGAAGAAACATGGGTTATGAGTGATTGCGGGTACTGGAGTTGGGCTGTTGATCTCATTGGTGGGTATGAAGACGTTCGAAAGCAGATTGCTGTATTGGAAATGGATTTTGAGAAGAAAGAGAAAAAGGTGATGTGGATGGGAGCGAGGAAGACGCATTCAATGAGAGAATTATTGTTGAAAGAGACAAAAGGGAAGGCGTGAGCGGATGTTGAGAGTGTGGATTGGAGGGACTCGGTGCATGTTAAGAGTGTGGAAGCTATTAGTATTCCGGAGCATTGTAAATATCAGTTTGTTCTTCAGACTGAAGGTACGTCGCTGTTTTCTATCACTAAAGTCAGATGTCTCGACTAACCATATCATGTGTATAGGAAGAAGTTACTCGGGGCGTCTGAAGCCTACAAAACTGTAACTCAGTAGTCATTATCCCGAAACGAAAATGGGTTGAACCACAACACTCACTGCTCATTTCCTGCGGCCCAGAACTGAATTTTGCCGAGATCGAAGAGGATTTTTCGAACCTGGAGGCTACAGTTCTCTCACTCTTAGTCGATGAAGAAAAGGCGAAGAGAATTGCAAGAAATGGGGTGGAGATGTTCAGACATAAAGTATTGACGCCGGGGGAACAGAATTGTTATTGGAGAAAGATGTTGCAGGGATGGAGTGAGGTCAGTTTCAGGCCTGAAAAGGACGAAAGGGGGGTGAGCATTGAGACTTTCATGTAAGCTTGCCAGATTTCGAGTTGAGCTGCCGGATGCTAATGAAGTACAGTGTACAAGAAGCTATGGGTAGAAAGAATTGAACTTGGTGGACAAAGCTGACGTTGAAGTGTTGAAATTGTTCTATTTTAGAGGGGTAAGAAGGAGTGACTCAAGTGCTGATCTCTCTTTGTCTTCTTGTAATACGATGAATTTTCTGTTGGCAACATTTTGTCTTTCTGTCCATACTTACAATGAGAGTAGATAAAAGAAGAAAGATTCAAAAAAAATCAATAGATTTGGAGAAATATGACGATGTGCAAAATCCATGCAAAATCCAGAGCAATTACCTAAACCGTCCAATCTTTGTCATTCATGAAACTTCGTACTGACACAGAAGCTAGTTCTCTCACGTATATCGGTGTCGCGAACCCAACACGATACTAAAGGTTCATGTGCTCTTGGCTGCTCTAATCATGTTGGTGTTGACAATAGGTTCCATCCATCCTTGATCGCTCACGTCAACCGAGTGCTCCCCCTTGAATACACAACCGAACTTCTCATACAAGCCACGCCCAACACGCGAGGAGCGAACGTATAGCCTCCCATGAGCCATATCAACTTCTTGCAACCAATGCGTTAGAAGAAGAGAGCCGACTCCGCGCTTCTGGTAAGCAGGAGATGTTGCGAGAGAATCTAGTTCTATTTGACGTCAGCTAATATCTAAACATGGGCAATTTCAGAAAGGGGGGTATAGAAAAGAGGGCTTATGGAAATCAGGGAACGAACCCCACATATCTTTTTCATAATACTTCATCTTATCCTCCTTCATCGTCTTCATCAATCCCGAGAACCATTCAATCTTGTCCTTAGGCGCGTTTTCTAAAGATTCTGGGCTCCATTCAACTTGTTCAGACCCCCCTAACTTTGGCCTGGCTCCGACGAGGAAGCCTGCGATATCCCCGCCTTGATTGGTTTCATTTTGAGATGTGACGGCAACGAGGAATCGGTAACTATCAGGTTGCAAAAGCAAGTTCGAGTAACGGGAAACATATAGAGCGTGCATTTTTTCTGGTGGAAGCAGGTTCATATTGAGGATGGCTGATCTTGGTTGGTGAGCTGCGATATCAAGAGTTGCTATGGAGTGCAAATCGGGTGGACTCGCCGCTCGGATCGTAAATGCCATGATGAGAATTGAATGGAGAAGCAATTGAATCTTCAAATTAATTGCTTGCTCAAGGGTTGATGAGTATTAGTTCTTGGATTGGGATATCACTATAAGTCGAGGACTGCAGCCTAGAAGAGGCACGTCTCGAGGTACGTACACAAACTTGGATTTTATTCACCATTTTCGGGATTGCCTGCCTAATCCGGAAGTGTGATTAGTCAATACCGGTATGTGTTGGCGCGTATCTCAAGTTTTTGGATTTGGAGGTCGTGGGTGAGTAAGCTTACTTCTTCAACAGTGGAGATTGTTCGCAAAACACATACACGTGATGCTAACTACTCGCTAAAGTGCTTTTACTCTCCTACATACTTTGCTCCTCCCCAATGCTTTTTAGTCCTAGTTCAAGATCAAGGTTTAGTGGTTGTATATTTGAGAAGAGAACTGCGGAGTTCCACTGGACGCTATTTAAAGGAAAAGGGGACAGCTCGTTTAACCACGTGACTGTGGAAGCCCGCATCGACTCACCGTCGCCAAAGTCATCCATCAAATTCTTAAAGAAATCGTTGATATCAAGAAATAAATCATCATAATTGATCATTTCTAGCCATTTGAACAGATGCCTGGGAGTTCACGCTTGTTGTTGCTGGCCTGTACGGCCCTCCCAGGTTCAAGGTCTTGGCTAACACCCTCTACCCCCCATGATTCGTTTTTGAGGTTGAACAGTGTATATATGACCAAACAAGGAATAGGCGGGACAGAGAGTAGGAGGGGGTATTTTCTAGGGAGGTTTTCACATTTTTTCCTCCCTCTTAACGGAGACCATGCTCTAGCCATATGAGCGCGAAGAGGTAGAGGAGGTTGATGTGGGGTCAAATGAAAAGAGCGACTAGCCAGTCAATCGCCGAAATTGATCCTCTCTCGTTATCTTCTTCTGGTCGTAGTCAGAGATTTATGGTCGAGTATGAGAAAGGGAGCGATTTTGACCTCAAGCCGCGGTCCCCTTGCCTCTCTCCACAATTTCAACACTACAAATTTGGATGTAAAGATTGGAAGAACAGCGTCCCACTCTTGGGTACCCTCAATAATCGACTGATTTGGGTTATTATCAAAAATTTCGTTTAGAAGAACCAACAGAAATATGCTCAGCTTGGTTTTCAATATGTAGTTTTCTAAGTGAGGCTCCCAAGGGCGGGGTATGCACCCCTGATGAGCTGAATACAGTAAGTGCAACGAGATTGGCCCCCAAAAGATACAACCTTTTCTGTAGACGAGGGGCATTCTACGCAACCAGAAACTTGTCGTGTCATCAGCCACAAATTTGTATACGAACCAACCACATTTTCCACTGCGGTGTTCCCGGTGTTATCAAAGATCCAGTAGTCTGTTTACAGTTACCTTGCATCTCTGTGGGTTGATTACTCGCAACCAAACTCGTATAGCCTGATCCAGAAGACGCGGTCATGCAGTGGCACCAATCTCCTGCCATGCGACGAATATGTTGCCGAAAATTTAATTGAAGATCGCTCAATTGAGTCAGGTACCTTGTATATGCAATTCAATGGTGCATTTCACTTAAAATGGGTAGTGGGTACTGTATTGGCTAGACCATGCAGAACTCACATGCTTTCTTTGCAGTAACCTCAAAAGGAAGTTTGACAACGCAGTTATACGACTTTTCATTAAGTCTGCATGCACAACCACTAACTTTAAGCACAAGACAATAAAGCAAGTTTTATGTCAAAAAAGAAGCGCTGACACTGTCGTACCTCTCAAGGGTCTCGTAAATACTATCTGAATTCAAGAAAAGCGGGATAATACTTCTCAGAACAGAAGCCGAGTAAGCCAGGCTCGCCAGGCTCACAGTACCTCACCTGCTCACCGCATCGCAATCGCAAAACTTATGGTATTTCGCGAAAGTTATCGGTGCCGTCCTACTCGTGGATTCTGTATTTTTGCGGAAGGCGTCTAATAATGTAGTGAAACCTGATAGCAGGCAGTACTGTTTGTTGAGTTAACCGACTACGTTTAGTTTCCTCCTTACTTGGTCTGAATTTCAAAGTAATGTTCTATTTTAAGGCTCAAGGACTATATAAACCTGTGTCTGCCATCACACAACATCCTTCTCCCTTCATCAGCTCATTCACATACATCACTAAAATCGAAATCTGATAATTTCCGATAACTATCTAAACCACTCTTTCCCTACAAGCCCTCATAATGCAATTCTCTACCATCGTCCTCAGCACAGCTTTGTCTGCCACTGTTCTCGCATCACCTGCACCTCGAGCCGCTCCAGATGGTATCCTGAATATCTTTTCAGATGGTGGTTGCGTACGTGGTACTGAGTGTAGCCGCGACTTTCTGGTTCGAACTACGGATGGATGTACTATCATTCCTCCAGGATGTAAATCAGCACTCAGACTGATTACTCTTAACAACGACTGCTCGCGTAAGAGTCCCTCTGAGCTTGTGGCTTACTTTAATAATTTTCTAACTGTTGAATCAGTCATTATTTACACCGATTCAGCGTGTACATCCTCTTCTGTCATCACGATTAATAATACGAGTGTTGGCCAATGCGAAAATCCTAGCTCTACTTTGGGAGTCGGCTCTTTGAAGGTTATTTGCACTGTGTAAATGGTCTCTTGTTCAATGTTGTCTGCGAGGTGTTGGGCTCATTTCGGAAGTAAGATATGGATGTTGGAAAATGGAGGATTTTTAGAGAGAGGTGGTTGGGAATTCTTGCATTAATTCTTAATCTCTTGGTTGTGGGAATTTGGGAGAACCGGACATAAATTTGAACGTTGAATTGATGCTGTGTTTACTCGACAAAGTCTTCGTTGTCAAGAGCCCCCAATCTAATATTCAAAAGATGAGTTTTTCTTCTTTAAATCACGTGTATTCTGAAGCTTTGCAATATCAGATATCGTTGGTGATTTTCGTTAGGTCATACAGGAAGTGGCAATATGGCATAAGACGCAAATAATCTTTCTATCGCTTTCTGATGGCTAATCATTCTCCATCCCGCAATTAAATTCATCTTTCCGGATTGCTGATATAACAATGATTGCCACTTCGGGTTTCAACAGTTGCCGCTAACCTTGTTTCCCACAGGCCTACAATAACTTATGTTTCTGTCACACTTTAGTAGAGGACAGCAGAGTGGTTGTGGGAGGACACCCACTAGAGGACAAGACACAGACTATCTAAGTCTTTGAATGGAATGACAAGCTCTTGATTTATTTTAATCACTAGAACTGTTTCTAATACTTCATTCCTAGTACTTAAGTATCTAAATAATATATGTACTGTATAAAGGTATTACAAATCAAGTTTAAAAAAGTTTACTTTCTTATTAGTTCCGTTACAATATTCTTGGGACAAGGTGTGGTAGATATTGGAAACCAGTGTAGGAAATCAACTGCGCTAACCTGACTACACCTAACCAAGAACTGAAAGACATTCACTCAACTCTTGTCAGATCAGAGTAGGTAGATAGTCTGTCAATGTACTGACTATTTCTACAAGAAGCCTGTTATAATTGTTCATTGAATGTTCCTTAGTTTGTTTCATCAGCCACAGAACAGGGGGTGTGGAGCTCCATCAAGCGTTATAGCCTAGACAGAAACTTCTAGTGTACCCGAGTAACTGCCTCCCAAAGTCCTATAAGTCCTCCATAGGTCAACCACATATGGTGCACCAAAAACCCACCAAGTCGTGCGAACACAACAAAACAAAGCTACGATTGTCAGAGGGGGCTACTACAGAGCGACTTCCAAGCAACGAGCATACCTGTTTACCTGGGTAACTTTATCGTATCGTTATCTCAAAACACAAGGAACGAAACATCGAGGGACGCAAGATTATTGGACCTCATGAGGCGACACAATACACGGGACCATTCGAAACGACGACCATTTCCCAGCCAGTTAGTATTGATTTTGCTAGCATGGAATTAGCTACGAAGAAGTTCCCACTCCTTGAACTTCCGCGGGAACTCAGAGATGCTATTTACAAAGTAGCTCTGGAATTCGACTTCACGGTTGATGCTTCCATCGCAAAAGGTACTCGATATGGCTTTCCCAACCTCCGAATACTCCGCCTTAACCGACAGGTATACGAAGAGGCCAGATACGTGTTTTTGAGAGGAAGTCTGTTTATTAGGGTTGCTACCACCATGCCCTTAGCAGAGGTGAATCAGTTGGACGTGTTTGGGGTGAATTTGAGGACAATCAGGAAGTGTGTTGAGGGGGAGAAGTGTAAGCACTTCATGGGATCTGTTATGGATTATAGCATCATAAACACAGATCTTTCTCTGGTATCTGTGGGGGCAAATGGCGCGCCAGAACGAACCGTTCGCTTCATTATTCCCTTGCAGGTCTTGCAATTTCTTTGCAGTCATATTGCCCGAGTTGCCTTTCAGACGCCAGACTATCACAAGAAGTACCAACATGTCGTGTCTCTTAAAGACCCGTATATCCACCTTACCAACCATGTTACTCGCTCATTCTACAATGTCAAGGTTCAAGAAAAGATTCTCAGTGTATTCCGATTGAACTTCAAAGAGCTCTTCCCATACTTCTATGTCAGCGGAGACGTGTCTGCACCGCTTGAGGATGCCGCCATCTCCGACATCGCCGTTGTCAAACATCGAGATCCTTGGAGAACACTAGCAGATCTAGAAGGGATCGTACAGCACAGCAAACAGCGTTACCGGGAAAAGGATTATGAGGGAGCCAGTGTCTTTTGCACAAGCCTGGAACAAAACATAAAAAGAATACACCGAACCTTCATTGGAGATAGGCTAGCGGAGATGGGAGGACAAGACTTTCGGTATAGACTTTTGGCAATGCGACTTGGAAATCATCTGCGAGATTTGAAGTACGCGATAAAGCTAGCTGAAAGCGGGATTCAAGACTCTCGTACTTCGCTTAGCAGTAAAACAAGATACATGCCTCAGACAACGGCTCACAATATGTGGCGCTACTATGGAGAGACAAGAGCTCATACCAGTGGTTCCAACTGGTGGCCAACGATTCAACAAGCGATAAAGATGTATTTACGCTCAGCAATCGCCTATAGGCTCACCGGGAAAATGATGCTTGATGCCACGGATCGCGAACAACTGGAGAAGATTTGCATGGAAAGAGCCGAGAAGTACATAGCCGTAGCCATGGGTAGGTGGCCGAATGATTTGGCAGTCGAAGCCGAATACCTTCTGATTTCCGCGTGGAAGCAGCGTATTCACGAGAGAGAAAGAAACCAACAGCCGATGACAGAGATCCAATCATCTTAATTGGGTTAAATGTGCGACTCGAGCATTAGAGTTGGGAGCTGAATGTCTGAGGTGGTATTACCAGTGTGTAAATAGAGGTTCATCTCGTAATAAATTACTGTTCGCCTATCGTCTACTCCATTTGTTGTGATTAAGTATAATATTGAAAACTCTTGACCTAAATCATAAGTAAAACTTCGTTCCTCTTAATTAATGCAAACCATGGGATATTCTAATGACCACGATAAATATTTTTCCTATTGCATCTTGTGTCAAGTTTTATCCATAATACTATGTGGGGCCGACTCGCAATATAATGCAACTTACCACGGCATTAATTGTTTTCTTATAATCTCCCCTTTCTATAGAAATTATAAACAACTTCCCTAAAGCTGCTTAAAAGAAATCACTTTGTTCATCCTGTGATTTTCGATTCATGATATGAATCACTTGATACTATCAAAATTATTCACTACATGAGTAAATTAAGTTACGCCATTAAGGGGCTAACCGCTGCTACTTTTTCTATCTACCATGAGCCCTCCAAATTTGATGAATGTAGTGGGAATTAATACAGCCATCCCATCAGAGAAAAGTAATAGTACCTTTTCAATGGAAATAGAAGGTAGTAGAATGTTTCCTTACTTAAATTAATATATCCCTTCACTAATAAATCTATCTAATATAACTATTTCGCTCTCGAGCTCGATGTTGACTTGTAAATATATATTGTTATTTGTCTTGCGCCGCTAGGCGTAAAGCCCACCCTAAGGGTATACAGTACTTCTACTTGTCTAAATCTAACTAAGTCTATAAGTCTTACTTATTATATACTCTAGCGTTGACTACTAATATAAGGTACGAGGCTTAGCTACCCGCTCGGCGGCTAAGAACAAGGTCCCGGGTTAGTAGCTAGGGCTTAGCTACTAAAATATAAAAAAAAGTACTAAAATAAATAAAATAAAATAAAATAAAAATAAAGTAAATAAAATAGACTAAAAGCTCTAGATGTAACGAATACTCAAACTGGCTAACTAAACTTGGCTGGGTGTTCGCTGGTTGGTATGCTATGATAAGAAGAAGACTATCGGGTTGTTCACTTGGAAGTGAACTCGTTACTTGTATCAAAGATGTCAAACTAATATGATAAGATTGATAACTAAGTTGATAACTAAGTTGAGCACGAAGCTCCTATCTAATGGCAGACGTGCCAGTCTTATATAGAACCTCCGTTCTCCTGTGTCGCCTACATCGCCTGTCGATGTAGTCGATGTGCGCTTCCCGTGATTATACTAAATGAAAATCCTTGGATCGCTTAGCTATCATAAGCGATCCTAAGCGATCCTAAGCGTTCCCCGTTTGCTATAAGAAACCTAGATGTGCCTGTCGAGGGTTGCGCCTCTTATTATGACAAGTATCACGTGAGCACGTGATTCGTGACAGTATCCCCCATCCGCTCATTCTCATCATTAGCTTGTACTGCTTTTTGAGGCTTTTGAAATTACAGGGGAGTCTTTGGAATATCTGCTTGTATATCTGCTCAGGCAATTTATACACTCGGGTACTTGCCAGTTTAAAGGATGTAAGGGTTATAAGGAGATACCTTACGGTCCTAAGTCTTAGCACTCCCTATTATTTACCTTCTTATATCACGTATCCACCACCCGTGTACTCTGGCTTCTTCGTCCGTAGACACTTAGCCGTACTCCTAAAGGCTACGAAATAAGAAGCCACGATGGAATATCTTAAGGAGGCAAAGTAATGGCTGCCCAAGGATTGCGATCCTGAAAAACTTCAAATGCTTTACGAACCAGCTCTGTTATCCAGAAGAGGCAGAATCAGAAGAGACACTGATTTGGCTACGATACAAACAGCAACTCCGCTCCGTCCGAAGAGGGTCGCAACCGATAGCCCTGCGCACAAGAAATTAAAGAATATACTAGCAATTTCTTACTTTCCCACTATATTGACCCCCTACTTATAGTTACTTGGAGCATACAAAACAGGTATCCGCCACCCTACTACTACATGCCCCCATTTTTCTCAAAGATGAATAACCACCGCATTGCTATAGACATATCAATACAAACCAAGAAAGAAAAAGACATTTCTGTATCCGACGAACCTTATAGAGTACTCCTACTCAATAAGAACCTCTAATACACATCGAGTATCAGAGATGACGGCATTTCGCATTACTACAAAGGAATCTTATATCAATAAAAGTGTAACACATATGTGTGGTTTTATTAGTAACTGTAAGGATACTTACACGACATTCATTATAACTAGAAAAGAATCATGTGTTAGTTAAAAAGTAACATATGTATTTTTCATTAGTACTATAAGAATACTTACTAGCATGTCCCACAAGACCCGCCGTTTTTATTAACTTCGTCAGAGCAGCAATCAAACGGAGTAGAACAGTACTTTGCGTTTACAACGCTAGATAGCATCGTGAGGGTAGCGAGGAAGAGTTGCATTGTTGGGAAACGCATGGTGAGGATTGGCTGCGGCGCAGATGACTTGAGTATAGGTGTGAATTGAAAGTCGAAGATTTTTGTAAAGGAAGAGTACCCGTAGGTGGAGTACTGGGAGTTCACTTGGGGTTTATATACCCGAGTACCCCTCTTATCAGTTTGCACGTGGATACTATAGTAAGGTTCTTCCATAAGAAGACAACAGTGGAGATTCGGTCTTGTTAGTTTAGACCTTGAAGTTAAGTTTCAACGAGTAATTTCTCTGACGTAATCCAGCTAAGGTTCGTAACAAAGTAAAAACCCCCAGAAAAAGCTTGAGATACGGGTCTGGACAGAGAGAAGGGAATGCCTCGTAGTAACACGAGTGGATACACGGAGTGAAGATGGAAGGATAGAGTTGGAGGATATGAAGAGCTTATCAAGAAGATTAGGAATATAATCAAGGACAAGGAGCTTAGGAGGTTGATGTTTGGAATGCAAGCGAATAACTACAGCCTGACGTCGCTTTCGGCCTTGCTAGTCACCCAGTTAACAGGAGCCGAAGAGGACGTACCCTCATACCTATTATATTTGGCCTCGTTTGCTATGAATGCAGATCCACTAATGAGGCTACATTACATCCCAAATTACAAATATCGAGCCTCTGGCTGGTATAAGGATATTGCGGAGTTTTACATCCACCTTTCAAGATCAGATTCAGACTATTCTCTGACAGCTCGCGCGAGACTCGCATACTGAGATTGGAAAAATGGGTAGATACGGTAAATACCTGTGTAGTACAGTACTAGGGATTAAGTCTGAGCCATTTAGCCGAGAGCCGATACGTAGCAGGTTCCTTTCGTCAGATGGCGAATATTTGAGAGGCGCGCCGGTTCGAGCTAGAGTTACTCCTTCGTGGCGGAATGATTCAAGTGTGAGGGTGCTTCGTACTGCCCCGCGGGTGATATCCAGGACCGTTTCTATCTCGGTTGATTTGGCGCCTTTGTACGCCATACCGACTACCTGTCTTCTCTAGTATGGTGATAGTTCTTTATTATAGGCTTTTGGGACCGAACTTTCACGCAAGTGCTTGCGAATAGGAGGCATGTTTAAAAAGTTGTGTGTGTAGAAAAGAAGGAGGGTAGGAAACGCGTCGCGTTATTTAAGTAGGTTTTTCGGCACTCGGCTAAAATGGCTTAGACTTAATCGCACCGACTATATAATCCGAGCCACTTGGAATACTTATAGAAATAAGTTATAGAACGTTTTTAAAGTACTTAATTTAACCTAATTTCACATAGACTAATTAGTATAGATCTATACTAAAATCGATAACGCTAGACCTAATCTACGTATTTTATAGTAATATTCCTAAGGTTCTATTTAGCATAGGTTTATTATAAGCGTAAAACTCGAAAGCGTACCTCGGGGTTTCTAAAATTTATAGAACTCTACTCGATTATCGAGTATTAAACTCGGAGTTCTAATTCTTCTAAATATTATTTAAGACCTTATTTAGTAACCTAGATTATATAACTAGATTATATTATAGATTATTCATATAAGCGCGGATTTCGTATAAAAAATAAACTATAGATTATTTATATAGATTTTATACCGGAATTTACTTTACCCGAGTTCCGATAATATATAATTTACCCCTTTATTCTAAATAAGTATAACTTATAACTATTATAATATACTAATTTTTATTATAATAATACTATATTACTATTATTACTAGCTACTGTAATGGTATCTTAGAAGTCTTCTAGCTATTATACTAATAATTAAGTATTTCTTTAATATACTCTTATCTAGTAAAATAGTTAAGTATAGCGATTTTCTCTTAATATTATTAATATATTATACTTTAAGTATAACTTAGCTACTATAATAGTAATACGCTCTCTTTCCTCCTTAAATACGTTACTTAAATCGAAATTCAAATAATTAGAATCTATTATAATAGTAAGCGAAGTAGTATTTATAGTTATAGGCGTTATATTATAAGTAAAGTTAAATATTAGTAAAGGTTATAGGGAGCTCGATATATACCGTTTATATAACAGTAAATTAATCTATTAAATAACCTTATAAAAGTCGATTATTTTATTTCGACAAAAAGTATATAACATAAAAGTGTTTAGTAAACCGTACTTTTACTAATACTTAGGTTTACGTAGGAGGTAGAGGATATATTATTTAGGTTAAATAGCCGCTAAGGTACTTATAAGGCTATTTATACCTTAATAAGTAGAGCCTAGGCTACTAAGCGCTTAATTAAGGCCTATCTTACTAACTAAACCTAGTAGCTAGCTTAGGGATAGTAGAGGGTTAATAAGAAACTACTCTTTATAAGCTTATAATAATAATTAGTAGATTTATTATTATTATAAATAAGTAATCGAATAGATTAAACGATATATATAAGCTTACTTAGTTACCCTCGATATATAAAATATATCCTTTACTAATTGTGACGGTTCTAACCGTCACCACCATTCTGATCACGTGGTCTCGCTTAGCGACCCACACCAAGTATTGAGATCGAAGCTCTCT